ATATTTACCTAAATGTTTTACTGTGCTTAAACTTCACTCGAAATTATGCTCAAAATAACTAGGTCTTTACAATTTTTTACGATTTATGTTATAACGATATTCGAAATTCACGTGCTTGCGTAGTATCGCTTATGCCAGTAAAGCCAGTAGCACACGAGGTTTGTTTCATGTTGGATTGCTTGCTGGAGGGAAATACTGCGTTCTAACTGGTCGATACACCACAAAAACAAGTATCGTGTGCCGCTGGCTCAAGTTGACCATTTCACATATATTCAGACGGTTGGAGAACATCGTTGCTCATTCGACCCTCATACTTTGATAAGGCAACTCGTAAGTATTTGCAAAGAAGATTTCTTAATTCGCCTTTAGTACTTGCTACTACATATTTTGCTCATACGTGGTTATATATATGATCATATAAATTCATACGAAAAAAATGATGTTATGACATTTAATTAACACGTTAACCGCCACTCGCATTTCGGAGAAAATCTCCATCAGGCCACGCGCGCTGCTTAGAAGTGCGCTGATATTGTGGTATAGCAATGCCAAGCGCAATAAAGCTTCAATAAAATCCATTAAAATTTTTTGATAAGAAATATTTAAGTACATTAATGATACAATCCTGAAATTACTTAAAATTTATTAAAACTATGTAATTTTTTTAGTTTTATATCGTATTTTATACTGTCAGTCACCGGTGACTGACGTGGCAATTAACGCGTTAAACGGCGATATCATGTGCTGCCAGAAGTAACCAGAAGTATTTACTTCGATTGTACTTGCATATAATTTATAAACAACAGTATTTTTTCATTGTGGACATATATGATTATATATACCCATATATGGGCAAATTTCATATATAATCTTTTTTCCCGGGTTGCCAATGAAGGAAAAGAAACTTGCCAGTAAAAAAAATTGACTTTGTATCGTTGTTTGTATCGTTGTTTGTATCGTTGTTGTATTTCAAGAGAAGTGTTTTGCTGAAAATGTCCATAATATTTATTACATGTTAAAATTTTTCTAGCGATTAGTATATGTGCAAAAGTCTTGCGCACAGATTCTATATGTATTTTATGTTTTTAACACATCCTACTTAGCTTTCATAAATTACAGACATCACTGAAGTGTGTAAGATATAAGAAAGGTGATATTCTGAAATATTTCCGTATATATTTCTTCAACTCGATATGGCAGATCTGAAAAAATACCACCAATCTGATAACGCATCGCATTCTACGATACAGTTCTTAATCGATGAGTTCGATGAAGAGCTAAAAAATATGTCTGGAAATTGTATTGACATTGGTTGCGGCAACGGGGATCAAATGAGATATAATCTCTTGCCAGCCCTTGATCCAAAAGCCACAATAATTGGTAAAGAATAACAAATTGGAAAATATAGCGAACATTAAGCCATAAAATATATTATTGTATAGATTATTAATTATTATTAAATACATGATTTAATTCGTGTATTATATATCATGCGAAGGTACGGATATTTCGGAGAACGTAATCAAGCATGCAACGGAAATACATGGTGATGAGGAGCGACTTAAGTTCAAAGTATTAGACATCCAAACTAAAAATTTGTCTGAGGAATACATTTCTAAATTCGATAATGTATTCTCATTTTATACTTTGCATTGGTGCAACGATATTCTGTAAGAAAAATGTTTAAACGTATACAAATTAATTTTTATTACTTATGAACAATACTAGAGTTATGTAAAACAAATATTCGAATGAATTTTAATTAAATAATGTATAATTAATTTTTTTTTT